AAAAGGGGGGGGGGAGGCAAGGTGATGGGGGGACCGAGGGCCGACGAGGTCATGGAGGGTCTGCTTTGGGTCCTCTATGGGTGGTTCTACAGCTGCGCCCACCACTGGCCGATGGCTTTCCAGCAGAACCCCCTTGGAGACTAGCAGGGACACCAAGTGGGAAAGCGGGTGGTGTTCTCCACGTTTGGGCTTGTTTTGAAATACAGTGTTGTTGTGATGGCCACGCGGATTCCACTGGTTGGGAACCACGGGTCAGTGCAGGCCGGGCTATAGCACAGGTTACGTTTCCGGGGCATGTCAGTGTTTTTTGTCACTGCGACTGCTCGTCCCGGTCCCCAGGCCCTAGTCCCCCTGTCCCCCTTCTCATCTTTGCTTCCGAGCCCTCCTTACCCCTGGGGTCTCAGGCAGACGGTCTTGGGTGGCACGTGGAGCTCACAGTGATGTCTGAGGTGCTAATCTGCCCTGCACTGCCAGGTGAGCCGGGGCAGTGGCACCTCAGGCCAATGGTCTGGGGATCTTGAGCCGCGCAGGCTCTGACTGGGCTCTTGTAACCAGTGGACTCTCCCTGTGGTCTCCAGGCAGATTGGGGAGAAGCTTGTGGCCCCAGGGGACATCAGAACCATTGATGCCCATGGCCTGCTGGTCCTGCCAGGCGGGATTGACGTGCACACACGGCTGCAGATGCCCGCACTGGGCATGGTCCCGGCCGACGACTTCTTCCAGGGCACCAAGGCAGCCCTGGCGGGAGGGACCACCATGATATGTGAGTTCTGGGCCCATCTCCCGCCCACACACAGGAGAGAGTGTGCCCGCAGCTGCCCACTGATGACAGAGGCAGGGTCCACATGTGTTGTCTGGAATAACGAGAACGGGAAGCCTAGTGGCTAGATTGCAAGTCACCCTCACACAGTTTGGAAGTTGTGACAACCCTGTGTCAGCTGAGTCTGCCTCGGGCCTCACACGCCTCTGGGTCCGTCTTCCCCCCTTAGACGTTCTTCCTCCCAATGCGTGCTGTGCAGACTAGTGGGGGGAGGGCTGGGGGGCATGTGCCTGCAATGTGTGCACCTGCCCGTGTGTGGACCGGGGAGGGGGGTGGCTCTGGGGAAGGGGTGTAAACTTGGGGGGAGGTGTGGACCTGGATGTGTGTGAACCAAAGGAGCTCGTCCCCATCGTTGGAGGCTGGACAGAGGTCCTTGGGCCCCGCTGCCCCTTGGGTGGGCCGTGGGTGTGGGCGGAAGGCAGGTTGAACAGACCCTCCGTCCCCGCAATGAGCCGGGTGTGGTGCAAGCGCAGGCCTGGCTGTAGAACTGGGCCCTCTCTGCACCAGCTCTGCGCCGCCTCCTGGAGGTGGCACCCAGTGGCCAGTGGGAGGGCAGGGCTGACTGCACTGTCCCTCAGTGGACCACGTGTTTCCGGACGCGGGCGTGAGTCTGCTGGCAGCCTATGAGCAGTGGCGGGAGCGAGCGGATGCCTTGGCCTGCTGTGACTACTCCTTGCATGTGGACATTGCCCGCTGGCACGAGAGTATCAAGGAGGAGCTGGAAGCCCTGGTCAAGGACAAGGGTATGTGCTTGGGCAGCTGGGGACCCTGCAGACCTGGCCACAGCGCAGCGCCCACAGAATGGCCCTGCCGCCTGCCCCCACGACGTGCCCAGCGAGTTTCCCTACGCTGTGTCCGCCCCGTCTCCCTGGAGACCCACGCTGCTTCTTGCATGAGGGCGGTGTAAACAACGCAGGACAGAGTGGCTCTGCCCCAGGGGTCTCTAACTCTTCACAGTCTGACAGCCCCACCGTCCCCACGGAGCAGCTGGTGGTGTGAACTGCTAGCCTTGTGGGGAGCAGCATCTAACCCACCGTACCCCCAGGACTGCTCTGTGCTGTAATGAGGCTCTCCTCCGCAGGCGGGGAGAGTCCCTGTCCTCTGTGGGGTGAGGGCAGCAATCCGGGGCAGGACAGGGCCTCTGGTCTAGATTGCTGGGGCACCCACAGTGTGGGGACTGCCTGCCTGCCCTGAGCCTTTGCAGAGTTGGGGTGGGAAGGACCTAACATCAGGTCGAGCCCTCTGATGCCCCCCCCACCCCGCCCACCAACCAGGTGTGAACTCCTTCCTGGTCTTCATGTCGTACAAGGACAGATGCCAGTGTGCTGATGGCCAGGTAAGGGGTGAAGAGGGGGAGGGGTGGAGTCCCTCGGTGTCCAGCAGGCCGTGACCCCGGGACTCCCCCGAACCGCCCCCCCCACCAGATGTATGAGATTTTCAGCATCATCCGAGACCTGGGGGCCCTGGCCCTAGTGCACGCGGAGAATGGGGACATCGTGGATGAGGTGGGGGCCTGCTCGAGCTGGGGTGGGAGGGCGCCTCCCCAAGGCTCTCCCCTCAACTGTGATGGGGAGGCCTCGGTGGTTGTGGGGGACAGGATAGCACTGAACTCACATGTACTAACTGCATTGGGAGGGTTTAGGGGGAGGTCCATGGGAAAGGGTCACTAGGGAGCACTTAGAGGATTCCAGGGGGTACAGGGTTGGGATATGGGGCCCCGTAGTGGTTGGGGGTCTTTGGGGAAGAGGTG